CTCTTGCGGCTCCGCCCTTCCCCCGGTGTTCATATCATGAAGCTTTCAAATAAGTTTCATCTTTTCTTGCCCAGTTGTTCTTGAGAAGAAGATATTTAAAAGAAGCCACCAAATTTTCACGAATTCTTAATTATCCCCCTTGAAAGAGGGCATGGCACTTCCTGTGAACAAACTTAAATTCACCCAGGGATGCTTTGTGGCAAGTTTAGTTGAAATTGGCCCAGTGGTTCTTGAGAAGAAGTCGAAAATGTGAAAAGTTTACGAACTACAAACGGACGCCGGACATTCTTTGATTAGAAAAGCTCACTTGAGCCTTCGGCTCAGGTGAGCTAAAAATTACAAAATGATAAATTGTAATATTGTAATTTTATATTTACTTCCATCCGGTAAATTCAAATATTACAATTTGACAGATATATAATTCAATCACTAGAGAACTCTTGTTTGCAATATAAAAAAAGATGCTGGCAAAATTGTCATTTTTATTGAATAAAGGGGTGTAAAATATAGGCTGAAATCGAGAGTTAGTGTGCGTAGTTCTTTGCCATACTCTCCCCATGGCCTTCTTTTAAAACTTACTGATGAACTAGTTATATTTTATGTTTGAGTACGTATCAGGTTGTTGTGAATTCTCAGATGCAGGTCTCTGGAACTAGGCAAGTAATTTTATTCAGTGATAAAACTCTACTGAAAGTAAATGGGGGGACCATTTAATGTCAAGAACGACTGGGCATTAATATTGTTTCTTCTAGAACACACAGGTTTTCCAAAAAGAAAAAAATGGGTATTTAAGGCGAGATATTAACTCGCATGATTCCGCGGACATCAAATCAACATTTAATAAACGAATTAGAGACAATGTTCAGCAATATCCCTCCTCCTCTCTCTCCCTTTCGACCAACGTTTAATATATGTCAATTTTTGTAACGTTGATATTTGTAATTTTAATGTGTACAATGGCGTTGAATATAGTATACCCATGTTTTGTTAGAAAGTTCCCTTCTCAAAATTGCTATTTTTGCAACCATGGCAACACTGTTCATTGAAATAAAAATATCAATTTTATATCTTAGTGTTCTGTACATGTGTACCAAATTTTATTGAAGTCAGGCAAAAACTGTAGGAGGGAAAGCAATTTGAAAATTGCTGAATATAGTATACCCGTGTTTTGTAAGGAAGTCCCGTTCTCAAAATTGCTATTTTGTAACCATGGCGACACTGTTTATTGAAATAAAAAAAACTAAAATAAAGAATTGTGTATCTTAGTACACTCTAAAAGTGTACCAAATTTTATTGAAGTCAGGTAAAAACTGTAGGAGGGAAAGCGATTTGTAAATTGCTTATATTTACGACAATCAGACAGCTGTAAAGCCAAAGTCTAATACACGGACATTGTTAAATTGTATAAACTCTTTCTATTAAATAAAATTGACCAGTATAACTAAAAACTAATTGTTTGTATGCTTTGTTTTAATAGTATCAATAAATCCTCTGTTATGGAAACATTATTTGTAAATTTGTTTGTATTTCTGTAATTTAAAAAGGTGGAAAACACATATTTTGGCAATTATGGGCCTCCTTCGTTGCCATGGCAACCACGACGTCATTTTACTCTGCATAATTAAATACTTTCAGATTTTACCTTTCAGAAAATGTATAGGTTGCTGTATGTAAAAGTGCCTAGAAAATGTTAAAATTTCAATTTGAAATTTTTAGGCAGTTTTGCAGAAAAAATGCAAAATCTCTGGTAGTCAAAGGGTTAAGACAGACGGATAACATTCCATTGTAATCTACAGTCAGAATGTGTCTAAATAAGTTAACAAAGTGAAATGTACAAATTTAAAAAAAATATATTTAAATGGTAATATCAAATACATTTAAAAAAATTTGAATTAAAAGATCCTAATGGAAGAGTTATCCTTTATTCCAAGTGTTGGGTGCTATGTACCAAGGGTTAAAATACCCTAGGTGCTATATTTTAGAAAACTTTATGCATTTTTTCCAGTTTTTTTTTTTTTTAAAATCGCACTTTTTGTTCAGTGATAGTCTTCAATTTCAATTAGTACGAAAACAAGGCATGAACAATCGCTTTCCAAAATGTGTCTCCTTCGGAGCAATTGGCGTCAAAATTCTTAATGGCCAGCTGTGTATCCATGGTTCAGGTATCTGATCCGTTGATTACGTAAGCCGGGTTTAAACGACAGCTGAGTCAGGTTTACTTGAGCCGTAGTTCTGTTGTACGCCATAGAATCGAGTAAGGCAAATGTCGAAGGATAGTAGGTTACGTAATTTCAAAGAACTTGAAAAAAGTTTTAATGAAACTGGATGAATCTAGAAAGAATATAATTAAAAACAAACATAATGTTGGAAAATTGGTAATTAAAAAAGTGCAAGTGAAAAAAGTGCTACAGATTTAAATTCAAATCAAAGGATTCGAAACAACTTAGATTGCTGTAGAAAAAATATGAAATCGCGAACAAAATAGACTTTTGAAGAAGACAGAATAGAGAGAAAACGGGGGGGGGGGCGTGGAAAATCCATAGTGATTTAGAAACAATTCCAAAGCGTAATACAGAAGCGAATAATGTAAGAACAATATTAAATTTAATATCAAATGATACCTTCTCTGAAGTAATCGCACCTTTGCGTTTTCGTTTATCATTGATTTGGTTTGATATACAACTAAAGTAACAAAAAATTATTTGGACAAGATGCCATTGATCCAATAAAACAACATCAAGTTTAGCATAACAGCATTCGTACAAGTTTGGATTTGTGGTCACAAATACAGCGCTAATTTTGACCTTGATGTTTGACCCACTTTTGAAAAACTTTAACCTTGGCAATAACCTTTGAAAGGTTGATGCTATGGCTGACATATTTCACAGATGTATTCTTTGTGACAAGAACTTTTCTGAAATACCAATATTTTTTTTATTCCCTGTTCTATTTTTGAAAAACTTTATGCTTGAACATAATTTCTGAATTGTTGCCTCAAAGTCTTTCATATTTCACAGCAGTATTTCTTGTGACAAGACTTTTCTTTGGTTACCAACATATTTGATCTTATGACCTTGGAGTTTGACTAGCAATTTTGAAACATTAGGGGACGATCATTTGATTCTGACGGGGGAGCTGACAGATTTTGGAAATCCATCCTCGAAAATGCTGGAAATAAATAATCCGTACTCGAGTGACAAGAAAATAAATGATCAGTCCTTGACAGGTGCTAAACCCCCCTCCTCCTCCCCCCCCCCCCCCGAAATAGAAGTTTAGAGTTTAGCAATATTCCTCTTTTTTTTTTTTTTTTTTAACTTTTCAGACTTTTTTCAGTAAAGAAGAAAATCAATAATCTGTCCTCGATCTTGAAAATAAATACCCCCCCCAAGAATTAAATGGTCGTCCCCTTAACCTTTGCAATTAGCTGTCAAACGGGGGCCTCAATGTTTCGCAAACACAAAACAAAATCTTTTTATAAGCATTCAGAGATAGCACAAGTAACACTTCTGATCTGCATCATATACACATGTAAACTAGGAAGATTGAAGTTTTGTTGAATAAACATTCAAAATTTTCTTGTAGCAGGCAAACTGTTACAATGTAGCAAGATACAATAAACATAAACTGTGAGGTTCATGATCCAAGGTTCAGACTTCACGGTATAGTTAGGTTTTTCATATATTGAAAATGCATTAAATTTTTTAAATCAGAAAATTTATGCTTGACTATAATAACTGAATAAGACGTCGCGCACAGAATTGGGGCCCATTTTGTAACGTCAAAATAGCGTCATTAAAACGCTTTAAGTTTACGTCCAAGTGAAAGTACTGTCACATCCCAATCAGAAATGTTGACTTTTTCTTTTTTTTTTTTTTTTGGATTATCTTGTCTTTCATTCTCTTTTTTCTTCTTTTTTCACTAATTAATATTTTATTCTGCTGATGACAGATTTGTATTTTCCCTTTAAAATGGCAAGTTTGCAAGTAAAACTAATTTTGACGTTACGTTGTCTAAGCACGAAAATGTTAAAAATTCAATGCGTAACAAATTAGACTAGACATCCAATTTTTGCTCTGTTTTCTTTAAAAAGGTTTAACTTCTTTTTATTTTTTTGATATAAAATTTTATTTATTTGCACATTTCGAAAATAATATTTTTATCGATAACAAGTATTCCACTTAAAACAGAAAAGAGCTCATATCTCTGATATACGTCTCGTAAAATATCATAATACGCTTATTTATGTCACAGTAACAAAACCGACTAGACATCAAAATCACTCTACCATCTCTTCAAATACTTGCTTATATCTTTTTAAAGAAACATGTGTCTACTTCTTGATTTGCACATTTTATTTCTCCCTTTAGTTTTACCAAAAGAACCTGTTATATGGGAAAAATTCTTTACCAAACATTCCATCTCTCCTTGTTACTTGTCAAAATCACCGCATATTACGGAATGCTATTATTTTTTACGAACAGTCGCAATCGGCCAGTATTGGAAATTTATTAATGAATTTTGTATGACATCATCACAGGACATTATATAAGCTTTGTGTAAAATTGCGGAAAGATCCATGTGGCCAAAACGAAAAAATGACTAAAAACTACTAGTGCCCATCTTTTAGTGTTACAAGTTACGCAATTACGCAAGATTATACTGAGTGCTGAATAATGACTAATCAAATATTTTATTCAAACACTACTTAAATAACAACTTTTCTCCAAGTTTGTAGTGGATACATACTCGTAGCTATATTACCATAATGTAATCGCAGAATCGGAAATTTGTCAGAAAAATTACATATTGAAATGTTCTCATATTATTAAGGCACTGGCTTAAGGCTTCTAGAATAATAATTGCCCTGAATTTAAGATTTTACATCTAGTTTCCATGTAGAAAATGTGAAAACGAATTTAACAATGCATATGCATTTTCTTTTCTGTTTTTTTTTTTTTTTGGAGTTTACCATTTTGATTGTTTATTTTTAACAGCTTCCACAGAAATCAGCAAAAATACACCAGATGACCAAACTTACATCAGTCTGACGTCCAACTGTTTGGTAGCGATGGGAAGGGAAAATCTGAAATTCAGAGCAAGAGCAAACAATGACATTAACATTGCGATTAGTACCGACGATTGTGACAACTGTGGTACACACTATGAAATCATCTTTGGAGGATGGGCAAATACAAAATCTGTCATCAGATATGGTATAGGTGGTACAGAATGTGACTCACACAGCCAGACTATTCTGGACCAAACTTTCTTCGACGAGTTCTGGATTTCATGGTCCGGGAATTATATCCGTGGGGGCACCGGTAGTACAGTCGGTAGTAATATTATCATGAGTTGTACACGTTCCACTCCTTTCGGTGCCAATTATATCTTGATCAGGACAGGATGGGGTTCAGGTGGTGAATGGAGATTTCAAAACGGTTTGTACAATTATGATAATTTACTTCTTTACCGCTACAGTAATTTTTTTTCTTTCTGAAATAGTAGATGTATGAAACGTATATGAAAAAAAAATAATCATGCTAGATACATTGTGCATTTGTATCAAATTCTCTTTCCATGTTTTCAGACGTTGCTTGCATACAGGGAAAAAACAGTAATGTTGACATCACTGCTGACAAAACTGGCTGCTATGAAGTGAGCACATACGCATGTGCATCTGGATACAAACAAACTGCAGGAAACACACAACGTACCTGTGGGTTTGGGCAGATTTGGTCGGGATATCCCTTGGTCTGTTCAGGTTAGGGTAAAACCAAATGCTTTTGATTCCTCCTCACATGATTTTATTGTGAAATGTGTAAATTACAGTAATTGGTCTGAAGAATCATTTCGTTTTTTCCAGTTTCAACTTGCAAAATTGACATTTTGGTCATCATCGAGGCATCGTCATATACGTCCTCCATTTACTCAGCGTTAGTATCGGCCATTGGCGATTTAGTAGGAGCGTTGAAAATTTCAGCGAGTGATATACAAGTTGGGGTTATAACCTATGACGACACAGTAGATCAGAATATCAAGTTTAATGCCTTCTCTTCTGCATCATCGTTAGACAGTGCTATTACGTCATTATCAATATCAAGTGCTTCTTCGTCTGTTGACTTGGCCGAGGCTTTGCGAGTCGGGTTTTACGAGTTCTTTACATTGTCCAATGGAAACAGATTCGAAGCTTACAGACATTTTGTTCTTATCGCTAAAACACATTCTCAGAATGGTTCAGTTGTGGCGAATGCTATTCGACAAATTTCCAAGAATGAGATTTTTACAATCGGTAAAAAACTAAGCATCTACTAGTAATTTCAATGTTATTAGGAAGTTACTCTGGTGATATTAAGGATAATGATAAATATTTAGAAGTGATGAATATTTCAGACTCGGTATCCTACAAAATTTGAAGGCATATTTTGTATATAAGTGTAATTGGTTTTTTTTTCTCCTTCAGATGTATTCACTGCAGAATTTAGCCTACTTGTGTCAGACTCACTAATTCATGTTATTGGGCAATTAGTTTCTCAAATATTTCAGAATCTTTAGAATCTTAGAAACAATCAACATGCCAAAACAAATTTCCAAAGGCTTTAAAAACAAAATTTGTTAATAAGCTTTTGATAATATTTCTTGAGAGCCTTTATACTTTTTACCGTGTGTTTCTTCCAAGAACTTCATCTAGTCACAGATATTAAGTATAGTTCGTATTTTTTCCAATATATAATGTGATATTTATCATCAAATACCATTATAAGAATTCCGGTAATGGTTGAGTTTTAATAACAAACAACACTCTCCAATAATTCAAACAACTTTAAAAGTCATGTAAATTATAATCATTAATGTCTGAGATAGTAAAACTCTGATATTTTAGGATATTCGCAAATTATTAAACCTACTGCAATTGTAGGCATTGATCCTTCCTCATCTTTGATCACTGACCTTAAGGCAATCGCTGGAGATGACAGCAGGTACTGGCAAGTGAGCTCCTCAGCAGATCTATATCCTAAATTCAATGATATTCTACAAAAAATCGCTGTTTGTCCAACAACAGCTCTCCCTGATCCCGTGACAGTAGGTATGTCGAAATGTCAAATTGCAAAATAATAAAGAATATGAGATAAAATAATCACGTTGAAAGATATCTTTCCCTTCGTAAAACGTCTGTCAACGGCTGGTACTTATATTACACATGTTCCTGTAGGACCCTATAATATATTGGCTTTTGGAAGGTACAGTTGCGAAGTGTTTAACTCATTTGCTCTAGAGTCACGGAGTTAGGAGTTTGAATCCTACTGCGGTACTTGGAGACCGGTCCTTTGAATGAGTCCATATAAACCGCGATCGCAGTAGGTGCTTGTACGAGAAAGATCCCCATTGCTTAAAGGCCGTAAGTGCCGAGTACAGGTATAATACTGCAGCCTTTTATTTGCAAGTGGGGGCATCTCAATATAAGTGAAAATTATTGAAGTGACATTTAACAAACAATTGTGCTTCCTGCAGGTCTTGACAACTTCCGAACAAGTTGTAGATAAACATGAAATGAAAAACAAGCAAAGGTCTTCTGTACATTCAAGCTTGCACGGTAATTTCTCATCCCCTTGAACATTTGTACGTAAATTTAAGAGAACACGTGTAGTTTTAAATAACAGAAACAAAATTAAAAAAAAAAAAAGATTACACTGCCTTGATAGTGTTTGGATTTCTGTTTATTTTTTATTACTAATATTAAATTAAAATGATCCTGTATGAATTTGTGTTTTATATCAAAAACCTCGTACGGCAAAGTTGCTTTCAGTTCTACAATGCACCAATTCCATTTTAATTTTATTTTCAGACTGCAAACTGGACATTGCGTTTATAGTTGAAAGCTACAATATGCGTTTTTCAAAGACATTTTTGGCAGGATTGATGGAGGATATTCCAATATCTTCTAATGGGGTAAGAGTGGGGTTTGTAACATATGATTCCGGGGCATCAAAGGAGTTTGGGCTTACGTCGTACACAACATCTGAGACCATCAGAGGAGCAATTGAAAATGTGCCCGACAAAACTAGATCGGATCACTTTGTGTACGAAGGCTTAATAAAAGCTCGGGATAGCGTGTTCACGGCCACTGATGATCGTGAAGATGCCAATAATCATTACGTTTTTGTTGTGGGACCATTTTACAGTGAAACGGCTGCTGTTTCGCGTGAAATCAGGGCCAGTGGAAATAATTTTGTCTTTGCAGCTCGTAAGTTTCTACTACCTTGAAGCAAAAATCATATATAATTTATGTATTTTGTTTTCTAGATTTTTTGTACACAATAAATGGAATTATACAAATATAAATTAATTCTAAAAAATATCATTATTGCAGATATCGGTTCATCTTTTCAATCTGAATACCAGGAATCTGTTGATTCCTGTGGCAACTACACAAGATACACCAATGCCGATTCATATGATAACCTGGTCAACATCAGACAACAGTTTATACAGAAGATTACTTCATGTGAAGCAATAATTGAAATAACTCAAGGTATTTCTATTTCACTTTGGTTTAAAATACATGACTTAAAAGCTGAGTCTGATTAAATACATGTATATACCAGTGTGTGCGCAGAATAATTTTGGACCAAACATATTAAAAAGTACCTTTAACGAGGTTCGCTCCTGAGCTTTTGAGCAGATTTTTATCTTAACCTATATTTTAAAAATTATGCATAATGTTTTAATTCTTACAATAAATTTGGATTCTACAATGCCAATTAAACTATATTAAGTTAAAACTCCATGATTAAATTCCATAACAAAAGCTTTAAGTGAGGAACTATATTTTGTGGCGGAAGGGTTTTTAGAAGAATATGATCATTTTTTCTCTTTCGAAGTATTTAAAGTATGTTAAGTTTGGATTCCTATTTTTACAAGCATTCTGCACACAGAGTTATTCTGTGCAGTGAACTGTTTTATACTGGTCCTAAATTATATATTAAATTAACTGTCATGAATTCTATCATCATATTTGATAAATATAGCAAATATATTGTGAAAAACAAGAAAAAAATAGCCCTAATTTAAGCTTAACATTAGCACTATTTTAGTAATATCTAAAAATTAACATCACAGACCCCCACTTTTAATTTTATTTCCTGAATATATAACATACTTTTAACCATTCTTCTTAAATTCAGTAAAATGTCATTACTTTCAAATGATTTTTTGCTTGTCAAATTTTTAATTCCAGCAAAATGAAATTTTTTGAGTGCAGAAAGGTCAAATAATTACACATGCGGAGTAATTAGAAATTTTTTTTCATTGTCACAAATTTTAATGTGTCTATTCAAGATGAAATAAGACTATGTTTGTTACTATAATTTATTTGAATAAAAAATATTGGAGGAAAAACTTTAAAAATTGATTTATGTGTAAGACGTGTTTACAGTGCAAAAAGGTCAAACTAAATGGTCTGTAGCGCCAAAAGAAGCGCATTGACCTACATTTTTTGTTTTGATTTTTAATTAAGTTATGTGTATAAATACTAAAAATATACTTGATAAAAAATTCTCATTACTTTTGATGGCAGGATCCAACCTCCTTAACAATTGTTTCTTAATCGTTTTTAAAAATAGGTGATGTCTGATTAACCAAGATAAGAAAAAAAATTAAATTTCTCCTAATGGAAATTTTATTAAGGTTTAAATTATGGATTTTTTGGTACCTCCTTAAAAAAGCAAAAACAGCTACGAAAAATGATACATATATACAGACTATTTTTCATCAGGGATTTTTAAGTCCCCACGAATTAGAAATTTCAAAGCAACCTACAAAATTTTGCTCTCATATTTAGATTAATCAACGGTACCAACTGTCTGGAACGACTTTCAATGTATACCGAAAATCTTTTCCCAGGAAGTTTAACAAGTTACTACCACATATTCAGAAGGGCGAAAACATTCTATCACTGCGCGGATCAGAAATGAATTTTTTTCACCTAAATATAAATTTTTGTCAAACTTTTTAATCATTTTTTGTGTTGCATTTATAAACCGGTAAAAATTCATAGATAATCATATGATGTAGTTTTATGGAATATCATTTTGCAGCTGTGTGCTTCTGAGATTATATACTTTTATCTTTCTTTTTACTTCCTGCAACTTTCTCTGCAGCCAAACATTGGATGTGATATCGTTTTTTGTATATATTTTTAAAATTAATGTTTTATATATTCAATGAATTGAAACAATTTCATCATCGACGATTTATTTTTCGACCCTTTTAATTGCTGTGGAATCATTAAAGTTTCGGAAGGGGGTGTCCATGGATTTTGTGATTCAACCTTGCCCAAGATTTTAAATCATATTAAAAACATATAAATGAAATAATAGTACATGAAATACCCTGCTGTTTCAATAAACATTTTCTCTATGATATCTATTTCTAAAATGTTCTTATGTATTATGGAACTCCAAAGTTTATAGAATCAAATAACTTGTGGTTTAATTATTTTTCAGATTGCAAAATTGACATAGCTTTCATAATTGATGATACAGACACAGTAAGTGCCTCTCAATTCCAGGAAATGAAGACCCTTCTTGTCAGTCTTGTCACCAAAATGGTAATTGGTGATAATGCGATAAAAGTAGGTGTTGTGACCTTTGGTGACGGAGCCGCAACCGCTTTTCCGCTCAAGCAGTATTCAACTGCTTCAGACCTGAGGAATGCTACTAAGAATCTTGCCCAAGGAAACCCAACGTATAGTAGAAATCGGCGTTGTGTAGAAAAAGCTATCACATACACTCAGTGGGACTTCTTTACTACAAAAAACGGAGACCGTGCTGACGCAAAGAATTATTATGTCGTACTTACGTATGGGGGTAGTTATGGATCCAATTTTACAGATTATTTAACAGTATTACAGTGCAATGCTTCGATCGATATTTTCATATTTGGTATTATTTTTTTAATTTTTATTCCTTGTTTGCAGAAAGCTTCATTTAATCACTTACCTGTGCAGTTTTGTGCTTTGTCCCTAGATTTATATGACCCATTGTATTTTTAGCTCACCTCGCCGAAGTCGAAATGAGCTAATGCTATACCCCCGGCGTCGGCGTTAGAGTCGGCGTCCCGGTTAAAGTTTTAGGAGCAAGTCCGTTCCCAAGTCACTATAATCCCTGCCTGGATCAAACTTGCATGGATGATGCATCTAGGGTTGAACACCATCACACTTGCTTCCGATGCTGGATCTGACCTAGATTTTCCAGTTGAGTGACCAGGTCAAAGATTTTGGTACAGGTCCATTCCCAAGTCACTATAAACTCTACCTTGACCAAACTTGCATGGATGATGCATCTAGGAATGTACGCTTACCAACCTGCTTCGAATGCTGGATTCGACCTAGATTTTCCACGTGAGTGAATTTTAGCCATATTTCATCCAAATTAACATGGATGATGTAGCTAGGGATGGTCACTTCCAGACTTGCTTTGGATTCTGAATCTGACCTACATTTTCCAGATGAGTTGACAGGATTGTTTTTGGAGTAGCTATATAACATTATGGTCTGTTTTGATTAAACTTGCATAGATGGTGCATCTAAGGATGAAAATTTCCAGACTTACTTTGGATCTTGGAACAGACCAAAATTTTCTTGATTAGTAAACAGGATAAACGTTTTTTGAACAGGTCTATTTCCTACTAATTATAAGTCGTACTTAAACCAAACTTGCATGGATATTGATCTTGGAATGTACACTAACTAAAAAAAGAATATGCTGTGAAATTTGCCTTACTTAAAGATAACATTCGTCGAGGTGAACTTCGTAATCTTTGATTACCTATGTTTTTTTGGTTACTTGTGATAATTTCTATATATTAGGAATTGAAAAATAAAGAGAGTTTCAAATGAGAAATTTGCACATGATGAAAAAATTCTGTTAATATTTCTTTATGTTCTGATTTGGTTTATTATTATCTTTTTTGTCTTGGACCACTGTTTCATACTTGACATGTTATAGCAGTGAAAATGACCTTTAATAAAAAACTAAATCTTTAAATACTTTTCCAATTTTAAAGTTGATAATTCCAACTTCAAAGTTAACTTTTCAAACTTTAGTGTTGGCTTTTCCAATTTTGAAGCTGGTAGTTCCAACTTTAAAGTTAGCTTTTCCGACTTTAATCTTGGTTTTTCGTCGCCCGCGTGGCGCAGTGGTTAGAGCGTCTGCTCTAGAGTCGCGAAGTAAGGAGTTGATCCTTACGTCGCGGGTTCGAATCCCACTGTGGGACGTGGAGACCGATCCTTCGGATGAGACCGTATAAACCGAGGTCCCGTGTCGCAGTAGATGCTGGCACGAAAAAGATCCCTCACTGCTCAATGGCCGTAAGTGACAAAAGTATAGGACAAAATTTGCAGCTCTCCACCGGCAAGTGGTGGCGTCTCCATATGAGTGAAAAATTCTCGAGAGGGACGTTAAACAACATACAAGCAAACAAACAAAATCTTGGTTTTTCCAACTTTAAATTTGGTAATTCTAACTTTAAAGATGGTAATTCCAACGTTACCATTGGCTTTTCCAAATTTAAAGATGGTAATTCTAACTTCGAAGTTGGATGTTTCAACGTTTTGGATCGGAATTCAAATTTTTCAAGAGTGGGTATCCTTATAAAAGTGAATTCTTTGTGCTTTATATTTTAATATTTCTTCACTTAGGGCAGTTACGTTAGTTTAAGAGTTGTTGTAAAATGTGCTTATATATATATATATATATATATATATATATATATATATATATATATATATATATATATATATATATATATATATATATATATATATATATATCACAGAATGACTTAATGCTAATGCAATATGATGATCAAAGATGATATTTTGAGATAAGCATAAATGAAGATCTTGGTAAATCATTTTATAGACAACAGAACATCAATCCAGAGTGTTACACATTTTTTTCTGTATAAAAGATACGTTAGTCTTTCTAATACTTCTGACATGATATTCTTTTTCTACCAGAAACCCCTCTCTTTCTTTCTCATAGATAATTATTTAAGAGAGATAACAAAGAAATATTAAAGATTTAATTGAAAAGTTAAATTAGATAAAGGAGTTTTACAAGTTAGTAACTGAAATAATTTATTTTCCCTTATCAATTTACTGGTAAATGTTTGCATTCAATCAAATTTCATAATAACTTGTGCAACAAATCTGTCTTCGCTTTCCTAGGCATTTATTCATTTACAATTCTAATGTGTTTTAGGTGTTAATGTTTCTCCCATCGACGACGCGGATTATCGGGGGGCTGTCAGGTCAGGGAGATACAAGAAGGCTACCAGCTTCATAGCCCATCAATGTGACAGTACTGTGTTCACCACCATCTCTCAATGTCAAGGACAAGTCTCTACTCCTACTACTTGTACAACTGATACCACCGCTACAGATTCAACAACTGCTGATATTACTACTGTCAATACAGATACTACTACAGATACATCTACTACCCATACTAGCAGTACTACTACTATAACTACTACTGATTGGTCCAGCGTTTACTATTACTTATGACAAAATTCTTTAAAAAATCATTTTATATGTATTTTTAATAGAACTTTTCAGTCAGAACTTGTATGAAATGTTCAACGAATTCAAATCTTTGAAAGAAATTGCCAACAAGAATACGCCCTGCAAACTTCTGAAATTATTATGTAATCAAATATATTAAAAATATTTTTATTTTTAAAATCAAAATGCTTGAAAAATATTGCGTATAGCTACTAGTATATCATAAAAATGTAAAAGTATTAACCCCTTCGTTTCTAATAAATAAATTCAAATTGAAAAAAAAAAAAGCATTTGGAGTTGGGTTGCCTTTCACTATATAAGTGTAAGGAAAAAAAGGTATCAAATTTGAGGAATTCAGAACTGTTTAAGTTCTGAAATACATTTGATATCCTAATTGTCTAATATTCATGAACATGAAATCTTCACTTACATTAAGTGATAAAACTGATTCCTTTTCTTTTGCATTTGCCTGATGCTTTTTCATTGGAAATTACTTTTAGTATTAAGATTCTTCCACAAAGAGTTCGATTTTCTGAGTTTATCCAAAATAAATGATCTGTAATTTAAACATATCAAGGTTTTTAAATTCATTATGAAATTTTATTTGAACAGTAAATAGCACGTTTGGCGAGAAGAAGCAGAGGTCTGTCGTGAATTGGACTATTATAATCATCATCATCCAAATCACAATTCTGATATTAGGGACTGCTGTATTTGTCTTTGTGTGTAAAAGATGTAATAAAGGTAAATGCCATTCAATTCTCTGCATGAGACTTTTTAAAATTTATTTAAAATTAAGGTATGGATTTGGAAACATGCATTAAATAAGCAAATTCTCATACTCAACACTTTCTTTTATCATTATATTACCGAATTCCATTTTTTTTGTCCTCGTCATGTTTTCCCCCTGCAACTCAGACCTTAAAAGTGATTAATACATTTTGGTGAATGATTTTTAGCTCACCTGAGCCGAAGGCTCAAGAGAGTTTTTGTGATCGAAATTTGTCCTTTGTCTTTCGTTGTCTTTTTCGTCGTTAACGTTTTCGGCGTTGTCGTTGTCGTAGACATTTTACATTTTCATCTTCTTCTCCAGAACCACTGGGCTAATTTCAACTATATTTGGCACAGAATATCCATTGCTTAAGGGGATTTGTTCAAGTGAAGGACCACGCTTTCTTCGAAGGGGAGATAATTAAGAAATAGTGAAAATTGGTTAGGGTAGCTTAAAAATCTTCTTCTCAAGCACTACTGGGCCATAAAAAATGAAAGTTCCTGGGGTAGTGTAGATTCAAGTTATTTAAATCATGACTCACGGAGGTAGGGCGGGACTACTGTGGGTGATCAAAGTTTTACAATATTTTTAGGAATGCATAGGAAAAAACTTTAAAAGTCTTCTTATCTTGTACAGCAATGTCATGATTAATCATATTAGTATGGAAGCATCCCCAAGTACCGTAGGTTTAATTTTGTTCAAATCCGTACCCCCCAGTGGCAGGGTGGGGCTAATATGAGCAATCAAAATTTTACATAGGAAAGTCTTTAAAATTCTTCTTATAGAGAACAGCAAAGTCGTAATTAATCATATTTGTGTGAAAGCATCCTTAGGTCGTATAGACTCAATATTGTACAAATCTTGACCCTCAGGGGAAGGGTGGAACTAATATGGCCTATCAAAATTTTAAAAAGGAATGCATAGGAAAATTCTTTGAAATTCATCTCAAGAACGGCAAAGTCATTATTAGTCATATTTGTATGGAAGCATCATCAGGTAATGCAAATTCAAGTTTATTCAAAAGAGGACCCCTGGGAGAAAGATAAAGTCATGACTGGCGATCAAATTGTAAAGAGGAATATATATAAAAAAAATCTTCTAGGGGACAGCAAAGCCATGGTTAGTCATATTTATATGGAAGCATCCTAAGATTCAAATTTGTTAAAAAATCTTGACACCTGGGATAGGGTGAAGCCACAATATATTTTTTTAAATGTTGCATAGGAATATTTCGGGGAAAATCTTATGAAGAACAGAAGGGCCATAATTACTCAAGTGAGAATGGTGGCCCATGGGTCTCTCGTTTTAAAAACAGGTTTATTATACAGAACTTAGGTGACTGCTAAGATCTGTGTGCCTTTTGTAATTTTAAAGTGTGGCTGCAACGAAATTTATCTAAAAAATAAAAGCATTTTTTTTTATCAATTAAAATAACCTATCTCTAGAACTCAAATACATCTGAAGCAATTTTCGTTTATTTTTATGCATAAAATTTTGGAAGTATACCATTTCTATAAAGTTTATTCAATTTAAATTTTTATGACGCTTTTAGATATATTTTTCCTAATCAAACATCAATTGAATCAGTGGAGATTGTAATATTTAAATTTGATTCATTCAAGTCAAAGATATTTTAATCGATTTCCAAGTATT